TAGGTCTTATAAAGCATATAGTTAAACCGAACGTAAACAATCGTTTAAGAGTGCTCCAACAGCTTTTAAAACTTTTAATCAAGTGGCAATACAACTACATTCTTGTTCAACTCTGGAAGCTAATATTCAACGTTTGATCAACTTAGGTGTTTTATAAAAGCTCTCAATTGTTTGTTGGGTTACCATTACTAATATATCTTTCTCATCTATGCCACATTCACTCGTAACTAATCATCTCATTTTTCCATTCTCTACATTTCTGATTCAACACACTCTCACGGTTTAATAATTTCTGCTCACTTTCTGCACACTCTTATACATACTCAACCAAGCACTTTATTCAAAATGGCTTCGGGGGCATAATCGCTTCTAATTTTCTTAATGACTGAAGGTACCGCGGGCAATTTTATTTCATTTTTTTTTACCATTATAAAGAACAATTTAGTTTCTCTTGCACTCCACTGTAGCAATTATCAGCGTTTCCATAGTCACACTATCAACACTTTTTTTTTTAATTGATCATTTCTTTCTTCAATTACAGACACAACCAATATTTCAAAATGGCGTCTTCTGGGGCTTTTTCCTGCTTGTATAGCATTTTCTAGCATTCCTTCACTTCATTACGCCATTTTCATTTTTTTCCTCCACCGAATTATAAATTCTGAGATAAACACTACTGCTGATGCAATTATCTTCAAATTTAATTTACCTGAAAACTTCCACTACTAGGTATTGCCGAATCGCACTGACTTTTTTCTGTAATATGTTTTCTTACGGGATTTAATTTCACTGCTGAGGATTCGTACACCTCGTCGCCATCTTGTGGTAACTGAATAGCTGGTTAGATCATTACACACGCGGTAAACTATAGCCGAGGTAGACGAACCAAACACCATGCCATACTGAGTAAGACTGATCACTCTACCAAGAGAACATCAGGAGAACCACCGCACATCTCACACATATATGTAAATGTGAGTCACTCTACCACACTGCCAATGGTGAAAACTCTTTTGAAGCCACTAGCTTCTAGGTGGTCCTTCCTTGCATCGATCATATCCTTTGATGGATAATTCTCCGAATGAGGTCGGGGATATGATCTCTGTTCTTCAGTGGAACTGTAGAAGTCTTGTGCCAAAACTTGACACATTTAAATTTTTAGTTAACAACTCACTTTCTGATGCATTTGCCCTTTGTGAAACATGGCTCTCTTCAGACAACGATCTTGCTTTCGACGATTTCAACATTATTCGCCTTGACCGCGCAGATTCGTATGGAGGGGTGCTTCTGGGGATCAACAAGCTCCATTCCTTCTACAGAATCGATCTGCCTTCGGTGACAGGCATTGAAGTAGTTGCATGTCAGGTTAATATTCGAGGTAAATGCCTCAGTATTGCCTCAGTATATCTTCCACCGCGAACTGCGATTTTTCGTCAAAGTTTCTCGGATATCTGCACGGCTATGCCGGAGCCACTGTTGATCTTGGGAGATTTTAACTCTCACGGTACAGGCTGGGGGGAACTGTACGACGACAACCGCTCAACCTTGATATACGACATGTGCGACTTCTTCAAAATGACAATTCTGAACACCGGGAAGCAACACGAGTAGCCAAACCTCCAGCAAAAATAAGCAGATTAGACCTCTCACTATCGTTGGATTGCTCGTGGAAAGTAATTCAAGATCCCTATGGTAGTGACCATTTGCCAATCAAAATTTCTATTGCCAATGGTTCTTCTACTCGTTCGGTCGACATCGCGTACGATCTTACGAAAAACATTGACTGGCGAAAATTCGCGACCGCGGTTCTTGATGCCAGTCAATCGGTCGACATACTTCCTCCGCTGGACGAGTACTCCTTTCTCGCGCGTCTCATCATCGATTGTGCACTGCGAGCACAGACGAAACATGTTCCGGGTGTTTCCGTTCGCAAGCGACCTCCCACCCCGTGGTGGGATAAGGAATGCACCGACGCGAACAGCGATAAGTCCGCCGCGTTTAAACGCTTCCGCAAACACGGTAAGGTCCGAGATTTTCTCATAGGAGTAAAGAGCTACAGAGTCGCCGTCAACGCCAATTAAAATAATGTGGTTCGCTGTTATAGAATTTTCTTAGAAGCTTTTGCCATCATCCACCAGATGCGATAGTATTTTTTTTTTATTTGAACTATGTTGGTTTTGTGTGCAATATGATCTTTGACAGTGTGCAAAGAGAGTATCATTTTGTCATTTTTTTATGCATTTCAGTTTAGAGTAGAGTGAAAGAGATAGAACCAACAATCAATACGAAACTAACGATTTTAAATTGGCTCACCACTTTAGTAGCCTATTGGTCCCAAGCAAACGATTAACGTATCATATTCTAGTTGAAATTCTATTACTACACTACCCAACAAACAATTGAGAGCTCTTATAAAACACCTGAGTTGATCAAACGTTGAATAATAGCTTCCAGAGTTGAACAAGAATGTAGTTGTATTGCCATTTGATTAAAAGTTTTAAAAGCTGTTGGAGCACTCTTAAATGATTGTTTACGTTCGGTTTAACTATATGCTTTATAAGACCTACGATAACTTTTATAGCACCACTGATTGACAAGAGCTATATAGAACGTGAAATAAACGCATCAAAACAAACCATTGGGAGCTCTTATACAACACCTGAGTTGATCAAACGTTGAATAATAGCTTCCAGAGTTGTACAAGAATGTAGTTGTATTGCCATTTGGTTAAAAGCTTCAAAAACTGCTTTGAGCACTCTTAAATGATTGTTTACGTTCGACCAACCACAATTTTGTTGCTAAAAATAGCACAAGTGATAGGCATGTTTATATAACCATAAGGCAATGATTATTCGACTGCAAGAGAAGTTACTCAAGATGAGCTTGATATACTTCTCTCATATGATCAAAATATGTATTCAAGAATAGAGCAGATGGAAACAGAAGCGGCTGGCAATCCGGGATCATGAGTTCGAATCTTGCTTCGAGAAACCTTTGGTGGAGTAGAGGTAAATTATATATAGGTGTTATTAATAAATGCAAACATTAATTTAAGACATATATCATATTATCAACGATAACATTTCTAGATAAATTCTCTCAATTAATGATTAGAGAGATTAATTGAAAGAATATCAATCAAATATTAAACAGATGCTTGTTACTACTTCCTCCATGATCACAGAATGTGAATTATGGCATAATTACATATTTTTTCAATGTGCACAAATAAATTAAATTAATAAAAATTGTACAAGCAATTGTTTTGGCGTACCACGACAATTTTTAAACTAATTTTAATCTGTGAATATTGTGAGTACTTACACAACGGTTATTAAGTAGTCATTAAAAAGTGCTATAAACGCTTTTCACCGCTTGCTGTATAGTAATTATTTAGGAGTCATAAAAGAGTGTAACAAACGCCTCTCAGGTTCAATCTCTAATACATTTCGAAGCAGCTGTTAGGAGGTGTCTACAAACGTTGTATAAGAGCTTTCACCAAAACAATAAAGCTTGACTTTAAATATGTATCTATAAACGTTGTATAAAAGTTGCTTCTACTCCTATACCGCGTATACATATAATGCTGTAGTTGAACAGGTTCTCCAAACCAGTGTAAACAAGAGTTTTACAGAAGTTGTAATAAACAAATTGTACAGTTATTATTCAGCATGCAGTTGAATAAAATCACAATGGAAGCGTTTCTTCAACAAGAAATTGATTTTGGATAAACGTTTTACTGAATACGTTAGACAACACCTTTGTGTTGCAGTTGTATAGGTTCTCCAAACCAGTGTAAACAAGGGTTTTATAAAAGTTGTGGTGAACACATTGTGCAATTATTATTCAACATGCAGCTGAACAAAATCAAAACGAAAGCGTTTCTTCAACTGGAAATTGTTACTTGGGTTACCACTACACCACCGGCGCCGGCTACTACGCCCGTAGATGAAGAGGTGAAAACGTTCGCATGCGAACACTCGGCAGCAGCTTTTCTCTATCTGAGTCCATTTTTGCCCAGATTTCGCCAGTGTTCGAGAAGCATTTGTACTACCAAGGCCATCTTTAGAGCTATCTGTCTGAATTACAATCGGTGCTTTGGGTTGAAAGATAGCTAACACGGGTGTAGAAGTAATAGTGTTAGACAAAATCTTCAGTTCAGAGACGTGAATCTTAGTCTATTCCCACTCAACGTCATTATGAGTCAGATTACGCAACGCCGCTGTGCGTTGGGATAAATTAGGGATGAACTTTCCTAAATACTTCAACAATCCCAAAAGTCTGAGTACGTCTTATTTGCTCTGTGGTTTAGGCATATCAACAATAGCTTGGAAATACGACTGATCCGGCCCAACGTGACCGTCCGATATGATGAGGCCCATAAATTTTACCTTGTTAGTTCGGTATTGAGTTTTAGTGAAATACGATATAAGAAAACTACATAAAATTCCGGTGTTGACCTTGATGCCAGGACCACTTCAGCGGACGCATTAGATGGCAATTAGTTGTATTGTATGATAGATATAACAAATTTTAAGTTTATGTTTTTCAGACCAATTTCAGATAGATATATCAGTCGTGCTTCAAAGATAATAATGTTAGACCCATAATACGCGCAGCACATCGAATGTTTTGCTGAATCCTGGAAAGAAACAGAACTTTGTAACGGTTCGAAGTTTCATATTTAGAGCCTTCACGTTCCACAATTTGCAAAGTAATGCAGTCTTCTTTGGAAAAGTTTAGTCTGTCAAAAAAAAAGCGCATGGTAGCCCAGGCAACCATAATGTATGTAAATATATAAAGATTTCTAAAAGCGTTTCCCACTTTCATCTTTGACGTCATAACCCCATTCCTAATTTGATATGTTGTACCTTCGGAGCAATGTATGTTGCTCTTTGATATTTATATGCTGGGGAAAAGTCATCATCACGAACGTATTCCGAAAGAGAATTCGAAGGAAGCATTGCAAAAGTTCGAAGCAATGTTTAGTTTAAAAGCATGCGCAATGATTACATCGCTCCATTTCTTTCCAATAGCATTGCAATATGCTTTTGGATTGCTCTATCTCTTTCCTCGTCAATACATGACTACATGACAGAAGCTAAATAGCTTTCAGTATAGATCATTAAACAGCAAAAAAAGAATTAATTTTTCAAATTCTTCTCGTGTTGAAAAGGATAATCGTGAAAAATGTGGTGATCTTGAAACGAAACCAAATTACTTGTTACCTACAATCGCATTGCATCGGGTGTTACCTCGTCTGCATGTATTTTTCGACAATCTTAAGAGTTTTGAAAATGATTTATCAGCTTTTTTGGTTTTTAACGACATGCTTCACATTTTTGTTCAATGCACTGTGGCTTTGTTGTAACTTTGCCTCGGTTGGTATACCGTGGCTTATGCTGCTGTTCCTTCTAGTTTGCATAGCTTCAAAATTTGTCAAACTAAAATGTCCTGCGAGCGAAATTGTACAATCGATGCTGCATAGGAGTGAAAAAGGTGTTGAATCCGAAGTACTCTACTGGCCAATAGTCAGCAGGGGTGGGGCCTTCGATGCACCGGAAAATTCACTAGCCGCCATAAATCATGTATGAGTCATTTCCATAGTTAGAGCAGTGTTTTGCAGACAATTAAGTAAATTGATTGACATTGTTGTTTGCAGTGTTTGTCACAGAAATGTTACAATATATTACTTGATCTAACAATCACAAGTGATGGACATCTGGTGGTGCTTAATCGAACAACCTTGGAGAAGGCCAACATAAATGAACCCATCCATAAGTTGAAGCTGAGCTCGTTGGAAAATTTCAACATATCGGAACATCATCCGCTAGGGTATGTCATACAGTTTGTATTACAGTGTGCGAAACAAGTTCCTAACATATTTAATTTTGTTGTAGGCAACATTTTCAATCGGAAAAAATCATCACTTTTGAAAGATTACTCAAACTTCTGGAAACCAACGAGTTGACGGTGTTTCTGCTAGCGTCACATACCAATGCGAAACTGATAGAACTTGTACGGGAAGCAGTTGGCAAGAATTCACTTTTTTCCAAACGCATAATCTTTTGCTGCTCATCACCGGTTTCCATTTATCAGGTCAGTAGATTGCTCAGGTTTTTGAATTGAAGGGATAGCAAAAAAGTGCGTAAAATGCTCCGAGGATATTTTTTCACCGATAATGATGTGGTGGTGTTGAGTATAGTCGCTATATACATAGTCTGGCGGATAGAATTTTGGGAACCAATTGAGCTGTCAAATAGCGGAAACAATCGAGCACATCACGATCAACAACAGAAAAGAGCATATCAGCTTTTACGAACAAAACTTTGGAAAGCGTTTTCTCGTGACTCAAGGCTCAGCTACGCAAACCCATCAGTGGGTTGGGAATGTTTCCGCTATCCGATGATGCTGTTAATTTGCGTTCGGTTAGCGATGATAGAACTATCAAAGCTTTGTTCATAAAAGTTGATGGTACCTTTTTAAATATAGGTCTCCAATGCATTGAATTGGTTCCGCTTCTTAATAGATCTAAATTCTATCCGCCAGACTATAAATATAGCGACTATAGTGTTGAGTACTTGGCACTGATGAAGTCTGCAAGTAGTAGACGAAATACGCGTATCCGTCAAAAGATAAGCAATTATAACGGAATTTAAAGAAAATAAACCAACCCACTCAAAGCTCTTCATAATAAAATGAAGCCTGAAGCCTGAACAACAATAGAAGCTGATAAATATTGGTTTTTCGGTAAATTAGGTTTTTGGGAAATCTACCTATATAAAGGGGAAATGGATGTCCCTTATTTGGACCCATACAAAAATTCAGCAATCGACTAAATTTTCAATAGTGACAAAAAATATCCATTAGTACCATCCCAATAACCCGTTCATCTAGATAAAATTGATAAATAGCAGATTTTTAGCGATGGGCCCAATCTTAGATCCATAGGCCAACATTAGAGCCATTTCCCCTATATAAATGAATTTTTGTCTGTCTGTCTTACCCTTATAGACTCGGAAACTACTGAACCAATCGGCGTGAAAATTTGTATGCAGGGGTTCTTGGGGCCGGGAAAGGTTCTTATGATGGTTCGTGACCCCTCCCCCTCTGTAAGGGGGGGGGGGCTCTCATACAAATGAAACAGAAAAATATAGCATGCTTTTTTGAATCGGCGCATAAACTAAAGCTAATATTGAATCCCGAACAAGAGCAGTCCCACTCAGCTAGTATCATATAAAATTCTCGATTTTTCACCAGCGTGAACAATTTAATTGACAAAAATTTCACTTCGCTTGGAACTGTTAACAGATACTATACAGTAATTTGAAAATTTAAATAAAAAAAAAAATTAAATTGAATTCCACTTAATTAATTTTGATATCCATGACAGATACGTATTTCGACTACAATGTGCAGTCTTCATCAGATCAACTCCTGATCAACAGGTCCTAGGCTGATTCACTTAACTTGTATACGAAATTTTAAAGCCGTGAAAATCCGCCAAATTGCCCTTGCATCGAACTCATCGTTAACACTGGGTAATATGTCTGCTGAATCCAAACATCAGTTTTTCCTGTCAAAAGCGGATCGACCGTGATTCTGAACATCATAGAAAAAACACAAGGCTCTAGGAAATTTGTTATAATGTGACCACTTTATCGGTCAATTCGGATTATCCGGAGAACCAGAATATGGCCACTATACTCCAAAATATAGTTTCCGTATTAAATACGCTTTCATCTCGTTGTTCTGGACAACATAGAAAAAATTACTAGGTTCTATGACATTTTTAATAATGTGATCACTACGTTGCATTTCCTACTTTACCGGGATCTCGGGTTGATCCTCTATCTCGACAGGTAAAAATATCCGGCCAATGACCACCACCAATCGATTCAGCATAGTTTTTACTTTAAGAATATGTACAAAATGTGAACCGTTTGTCAGCCGAGATATTCAATTGAGTCCCGGTTTTGTCAATTGTTGTCCACTGTGCGGCCCCAGGCTAAAAACCTTACAAATAATAAAAAAAAGTTACTTTAAAAACCTCAATCGTTGGGTAGTTTTGTTTTGCAGTGTAAGGATTTTGATAGTATACACATTTATCACAAGTATCAGATTCTTCAATTTTTTAAACTTTGCAATCTCTAATATTTTTCTAAATGCGGGACTTCTTAAACTGTTAGAAATTGTGAATGTTTAGGTTTTTTTAAAAATCACGCATATTTATACCCCGTACAGACTATGGCTTATGTCATGTAATATAGGCTGTCTTGCAATGAGCACTCATACATAGGATTTCCAGTGGAAACTAGATGAATGAGTGCTCATTGCAAGGCAGTCTATATTACATGATACAAGCCATAGTCTGCACGGGGTATTATCAACCGGTGGAAACTAACGATTTTAAATTGGCTCACTACTTGACTAGCCTATTGGTCCCAAGCAAATCGATTAACGTACCCCATTCTAGTCACAATTCTAGTACTACACTATGTTTGTTTTGATTCGCTATGAAAGTTTGACAGATAAAATGAGGGGTTCGTGGATTTTCCTATGTTTCGAGGGGTGCATCGATTAGCTTGTGACCGAAGATAGTACCAGAGCTGAGCCAAAAAGTTGAGCACGTTTCTTCGGGACCTTCTGTGGTATTATCAAACCGGTGGGTTCGATTCCCGTCCATTCGAGAAAATCTTTCGGGTTATATATTTTCACGACTACTCTGGGCATAGAGTATGATTGTGCTTGACACACAATATACCAATTCAAAAAAACATCCTGAACACTAACTTGAGAACCGGCGTAACGCTCACTACAGAAGTGTAAAAACCCTAGAAGAAGTAGATCTACATTTGATTCATACTTAATTTTTAAACTTTTTTTTTTTCAATCCAGTTACGCCAGCATTGCCCTGACCTATTATGTGGACTGTGGATGGAAAAATCCGCTCTATCACGAACCCAGCAGTACCTAAATGCATCGACTATTTTGATGTCCGTCTACGGTGCCATCTTTCGTAACATAATATCACCGGTAATCGGAATCAGCTTGGTGTTCATTCATAAGGACGAGTTTAATGCGTAAGTATTTCCAAAAGAATAGTCTTATCCCACTGTTAATTAATCTTAAATTTCCCCGGCAGACAAATATCAACCTTATGGCACAACGTGGGTGTTCGACCGATTGTTTACACGATCAATTCTCCGAATGAGAAACGATATTTCCAACAGGTAACGAAAACACAATATCTGACCGATTCCCTGCGCTCGGAACCGCAGGTAATCTTCCGAGCGAAACGCAAATAGATCGACAGACCAGGCAGCATATACATTGGAGTCATAAAGTCGTAACCACCAGCAGCGTGTGACAGTGTGCATCAGTTTAAGTGGCCATCTCATTTTGCATTTTTGAAAGCTTTATAGATTTTTGTGTTCCTTTATCTAGCAATCAATTAGTTTTCTTTTGTTTTGCAGACTGGATTTATTTATTTTTTAGTTATAATTGTCTTATAATTATTTATTTATTTTACTACTGCTAAATAAGTTATGAACGATTTTGTACATAGAAAATTAAGCTATACAGACCAAGAGAGGATCTCAACATTATCCTTCATGTAGTATCTTTTCTAGCCGAACGAAGACGTACTATTCAGATTAGGATTTCGAATACTTATATTAAACAATACAGTTTTTGCTTTATGTCTACATTTCTTTTCTTATATTGCTAGCATTTATGCATGCGAAATTATTGAAAATGCTATTGTATTTCAAGCAGTCGAGTCACTATACATTTGTTTTGTATCAAAATATACGAATAAAGAGATTTATATAATTCAAGGCTTAGTAACATTATTTTCCAACATAAATTGATTGTTTACGCAACCAAGACAGATGGGGTGGGGGTATTTCTAAAAAAAATGCATGGACTATTGTACATATCCAGATTGATTCGTTATTAGGGTGTACATGATTTAGTCAAATATTATATTCTATATTTGTAACGCTCCTTTCTGTTCCCACAAAGTAAACGATTTATGCGCCACCTTCAGAAGAAGGACCGTTACTCAGGTAGTATTGCCCGGGATGAAACTGCCTTCTCAGGGCAGGTTACACAGTTGTCCCAGAATCAGAGGTCTCACTTTTGAACCCAAACGTCGTACGGCAATCAAACAAAATTCAACCAATATTTACATCAAATCCGAAAAATACTAAAAAAAAGACAACTCTATAATCTATCATAGGGGACTTGTTTAGGAAATAATAAACTTAAACCAATCTAATTATTAATTAAAATTTTATTGCGTGACGCGAAATAAAGTGGAGAGCTACAACTAAACTAGAAGTAATTTATTATATATTAATCGCTCGCGTAATTCAAAACGACTAAATTCATCAAGCTCAACCGATATTTGATATTGTAAAGTTCGAATTCAGAGCTAAATTTATTTCGAATTCAAGCAAACCTAATGCCCTAAGGTGACGTCACACTTTACTGGTTTTTAGCGTTTAAATTAATCTAGTGCTAAAGTGTATTGTGAGTAACAAACTGTTCAGATCTGACCTTTAACTTCTTCGCAGCTCCCGCGTCGGACGTCCCTCGTAGTTAGGATCCCACGATACAAGATGCCAAATTCTCAATCGATAAAACCTTTTGGTTCCGTTGGTCGTCACCAACGAGTTGGCGGCTTCGGGCTCTAGTCGTAGTGGGTCTACTCACGTGTTTCGCGCGCCGGTGTATATTTCGGGGTAAATGCGTCCCCACTGTGCGTGGAGTTACCAGCCAGAATTTAGCTCGGTCGACACCTTGCGACTTATTGCCTTGCGAAAACACTGTGATACGACGAACGGAAGATATTGCACAGCCAGGGTCTGATGGATGGTGAACTGGTCGGAATTCGCAAGCAAACGGTTCAAAATATACGTCGGTGTCTTCGCTGCACACAGGCGAAAGAGCAAACCGAAAGCCAATCCGAAAATTCAGGCACGGCTTGAGTCCGGTACTAGCCTCCTGGGCGAACCTCCTGTTCGAACCCGCACTAACCGCCCACGTTGCTTGGGCACAATTGTCCTATTCAACGCGGATTATTTATTTTATAAATTTGCTCACTAGTCGCACACTTATTAGGCTTACCTGAATTTCGTAGTTTTTTAATTCACAGATATTAAACGTTCTTTACGAACACTATTTCGCTCGACAAAATTTGGTCGCTAATGTTCGACAATGTACTAAAAAAAATCTGTTAAAAACATAAAAAATACTACTAATAAACGCGCGAAGACTTACTTCGAGTTTAATTAACCGTTTATTACTTTTTTAAATTAACACCTTTTAACAATTCTTAAACCACTTCAAAATATCTTCGACTTATCTCTTCAAAGCACTCCACACAATTGAACAAGATGACGCCGGATAGATTGGGTACAGCCTAAATTTTACTGCGCAATTTCCTCCTATTGGTAGATTACAGAGAGATTAAACGAAGCCGTTTATTGTTTTAATAATATAATACCCAGAATCTGTTCAACTCTCTACGACGCAATTGATTTAAATTCTAAATATGGGGCATTAACTACCGGGTCAAAAAATAGGTGGCGCAGTGGTGGTTTGTGTCTTCGAGATAGCATACAACTTACAGTATATTTAAAGAAACACTTGGTCAGCCAACAAAACTAACGCTTGGAATTGGTGAACGGTTAGTTAAGTTCACAGTACATTAAATAAAATCACGATGGGACTACATTGCGGTTACATATTGTCTACGAAGGGATAGGTGGAGGGGGTTTATATTAATGCTCTTAAAATTTGTCGTAGTTTGTGAACCCCCTTTGTGTAACTTTTCCGCCGATGGATGCATGTGATCAAGTGGGTGCACAACCGAATTCATACAATCTATATAGAGCAATTCCACGCTAAATGACGAATCGATCAGATTTGGCCTTCTCCGAGTTGCATGAAACTTTGCATAATTGTTTTGGAATTTTGGAGAATCCATAGAGTAATTTTGTAAAATTTCAGCATTTGAATTTTTCAAAGTATTCTAGGAAGGATTCCGGTGACTTCCCAGATTATTTCAAGCTGCATAATGCATTAGATCGTAAGTAACATTAACCGATTCTCTTAATCGACTTTCTCTTTCGTTAATAACTTGGGTATTGAATCGTTTCTTGTCGTGTTTGTCATATAAAATGCTAGATAATAACTTGTTTGATCGCTCTGTGTTCAGAAATTAGCTCGGAATGTTGCAAAGAGGAAGTCGACGAAGAGAAACTGTCAATGTTTTTTAGGACCTAATGCCAGCTTGATTTCTAGAGAAAAAAAGAGAAAATCTAGAAAATATAAGAAAATCAGAGAACCTCACTAAGACATAGATTATAAATAATCCCAAGAAAGATTCCGTATAATCCCAACCAGGGCTACTTCCATTCATTTGTAAACTACAATAAGAGGTTGTAAGGAATGTGTTGTACACATAAAAGCTGCCATTTTTCCTTTCAATGAGTCATAATCATTGATTACTTGATCGCTGTTCTCGAAGAATGAAGAATGGGTGAGAGAAAATTATAAAATCGCTTATTGCGACTCTCATAATAAGAAATTCGCAGGTTTGATGTGTGAGCATGAGCATGAACATTAGACTGATGCAAAATTTGAAATTTTCGCTCCACAGTGCTCAAACGGTTCCAAATTGGGCCCTGATTAGCATCCCAAAATTTGAACTCATGTAGTGAGAAACTGACTTGGCCCAAACCATTTGAAGTTTATAAGGGAATTACTATGGAGAAACCATAATTTCGGTTCATATCTATCTCAAAATTCACCAGTTCAATCCACTTTAGAAAATAATAGCTAAGCTGCAACTTTGTTGAAGACCACTTTTCGATCAAATGTAAGGAATAAAAAATATTAAGGATTCAAGTCACTGATGTCTTATGATTATGCTCAGTAGGCAAAATGGGTATTTATGACGCGTAGAATTGAGGACAAAAATCATGACTACTATGTCACACTGCAGAATACAGTGTTGCCCACAATACAGTTGCTTAATCTTGCCATGTTAAACAATTAATTACTATTTCATTTGACGTTTGACTAAAAAACGATTTTTCTGCAAAGTTGTAGCTGATACAAATTTCCATATAAGAGATAAAAATGGCTAAAAATCTCTCAAATAAAGGAAAAAAAAAACAAATTTCCATAAGAATAGCAATAGATTTTTTTAACAGTACAATATGTAAAAGGCTAGAAGACAATGAACAAAAAGTTTTGTTTTCCCATAGTAATTTCCATATAAACTTCAAATGGTTTGTGCCAAGTCGGTTTCCCACTAAATGAGTTCAAGTTTTGGGAGGCTAATCAGGGCCCAATTTGGAACCGTTTGGAAATTTCAAATTTTGCATCAGTCTAATGAACATACTCATGATAGTCCCTTTATTGTCAGATCAGCTGTAATTCTCGATGAACATTTCAAAAGATCCTATCGCTTCATCGACTTTCTTTTTGGATAACCACTGCTATGCAAATAAATTGTGCGCGATTTTTACCACATGGTTTGATAAAGAGGTTCTCATCTAGCGTTCTCAACGTTAAATACAACAGGGAAAGCTTTTGCAACTGAGTTATTAACGAAAGAGATTGTCGATGAAGAGAATCGATCAATGCAGATAGGACCTTTTGAAATGTTTATCTAGAATTATTCAAAGAACCAAAAGACGATGCTTGGGACTAGCATTCATCCTCAATGTGTAGGAACTGATGATCTCATACTTTATAATAGGAAATACCAACGGCGGCGACGAGCCACGTCCGAATGCAGGTCAAGAAAGGAATGGATAGGAATATGTTGACACTCGCTTTATTGGAAGATGAGAAATCCTCTGCACTTCCAGGAGGAATCACTGGGATGTTGGATAAAAGTGTTTGGTAAACAATAAGCTGAATTAATGTCCTAACGATTCTATATGACGAAGGAGCTTGGGATTGAACCCATGGCCTTCCGCTAGTAAGCAAAAACTTTTGCCACTAGGTAAATGAGCTCCTTATATTAAACTACAGCACTTGTGATCGAGTTGTTATTAACATGTATTCATATTAACTAATAAAACGTTTTTCAAATCTAGAATGTGAAGGGGCCAGTGATTAAACGGAGAGATCATCAGGTATCATTCGAGCTAAAAATATTTAATGGCTTAATATAAGCTTTACATTCTCCTGCCATTGTATGAGCTCTAGAGGCATATTGCTGCATCGTATTATTATATGTGCATATAGGGTGTCCCAGAAAGTATAAGCACACTTTCAACTCACCGCTTTTTCTACTCCGATGAAGTTTATCAGCTGTTCATAGATGTGTGCAAACAGCAAACAGATCGCGCACAAATGGTGCACTATTCCCAACCTATCAGTAAGGAAGTTGGCGAAAATGGGGGAAGTAAGTATCGGAGCAGTCCGTACCGCCATGCGGAAGTTCGGTGAAGAGGTTATCTTCGAGGACACACCAAAATCTGGCCGTAGACCAGGACCGGTAGATCTAAAACTGGACCGGAATATACCCCAGGTTTTCTTCTTCTTTCTTCTTGTTATTCATTCCTTTATTTAACGTCGGTCTCTGTTCCACTCTAGTGCCAATCACCGACGGACATCGATTGCCATCCATTGACGGCAATCGAATGTGCAGGAAGCAGCTTCCACACCTGCGTAGGATATCGCACCCATTCAAACACACATGGACCGGGACCGACGGCTTTACTTCCCTTCCGAAGGACCAGAGGTTTTTATGCCTCAGAAAAATCCCACCGACCTCGACTGAGATTAAATCCAGACCCATTGGGGTGA